ATACAGCATCGATGAAAAGTCTTTTTGACAGCCACCGACACCAGGGTTCTCTCCCTTCCCATCTCCGCTGAAATCAACCCTAGATAGATCCCTTCCTGTGTCTATCGCACACCGCCTACCCTTGCTCAGTGCCCCCTGTTTCTTCAAAAGTCCCCACTTCCTCCCCTCACGTTCCCGTCCTGTTACTTTGTTACACTACAGTACCCATTACCTGGGAATGCCCTGCTTCCAAAACTACGTCCCTGTCTCACCAGCCCCTCTGCGTTACCCAATCTGCAAACCATCCTCCGCAGTGCCTGGCAGTGCATCTCGCGATTCCAAAAAAAAAACCATTTTCCTTAATCGCTATCCATACTCCAAATGCAACTCGCCGCAGATCACGGTGTGCTGTCGGGAGACAATGCATTATATCTTCTTTCCACATGTCGCATGTGTGATGATACAGTTGAGCTACTTTCACCACTGATTTTCAGCCCTAACGCCCACTGAAAGAAGGAAACGCAGCCTTGCATCGTTTTCATCATGTTTGCATATCATAACCCGCAGAAAATAAGTCTTCAAAAGATGTTTGGATATCTTCGTGTCCGAAAGCACGACGAGCGCTCCGCTGTGATCCCTGCTCTTTGCTCACGGTAAACCCTTGCAGAAAACCACTTTGGTCATTGGGTTATTCTCTCTCTCGCGCTCACCTCATACACACCCTAGAAAGTTAGCCTTACTAGAGACACGGCTTTTTTGTATGCGGTAAAGGGGTTTGAACTGAAAGCCCTTTGAAAGCGCCGTGGTGTCGGGCCTTGGCAAGGGGGGCTATCTTCTTTTCGGCACAGGACAATGACATCATTATTGAGGCAGAAAACGTCGTTGATATGGATAGATTTAGATTTTGGCAGCGTATTATCTCTCTGCTCAATGGTTTCTCGTCGCACGTATCTGGAAGATTTGCATGTCTCAAATTTGAACATCTGGCGGAGGCGCTAATCTGACGTCTGACACGCAACCTGGCGGTTAGGCAGGGGTGGCGGTTAGGCAGGGGCACCTCAAATGGAGATTTGGGGAATGGGGTCAGCGAAGCAAGAGGTTTCAAGCTAGTGTCAGTTTTTGCTCTATAACTTTCGCGATGTCTGCGTATTACAGATAAATTGCATCCAGTCGATCAAGGGCAGTTGTGTTGATGCCGTTCATTGCCGCTCATCATGACATTGTTCGAGTTAGCCGTGTGCCATGGTACGAATCGGGGCTGGCGTCGAGGTCGTGAGAGGGCAATTCACAATATCCCCAACAGCTAAATATCACCGTCCTTGTCCTTGCTTGAGTAGGCAATAGTCGAGAGGGCGAGCGCCTGTTATGTGTTGAGGAAGTTCCGTCGGTTCTCAAGCGATGAGAAGCATTACTGTATTCACTATATCCACAAGAGTCGAGTACGTTCTTCTTCCCGTCGCATCTTAACGAGGAATGACCTGTCAGTCCCAAGAATAGGACACGATTTTCCTTCATTTCCGCATATCTTGCTGGTTGGGATAAGTAGGTTAATATGATACTTTCGGAAATTGGACTCCTTTTTTCGCTGACAAAATGACTCTACTTCCTCTATTTTGCATCTTAGTCGCATTTTCTGAACCCTATTCCCAATTCCATTCATTTGATGAATTGCTACTAATTTCGCGTGCTTTCTGAATGTTTCAGCAGACGTTGTCCTATAGTTTCAAATAACTCTTTCTCCATTAAAAAGCAACCAATGTATCACTACAAAAGCCTGTGGGACGAACCGATCGGTTCGAATATAATCATATTGTATTCAATGCTCTCCTTTTTTCTTCTACACTTACATCGTTTGCCATTATCATTTGTGTCCAGAGCAATACTTTTCTTTTATTTTAGAGCTGACAGTACTTCGGTTCTTTGCCGTGCTTTGGGATTTGTCCTGGTCTGTGGAGAAGGGTCTTATCCATCCCTGTTTGTATATCGACTATCGGGGCATACTTGAACCATCTGTGAGGAAGCAATTTCTCTTAGGATCATGGTTCTCGTCTGCAGATGCCTTCTATAGAGACCTTAACTGACATACAGTTTCATTTTCTTTGAATTAGGGTAGCATCTGGGCAATGTCCGGTAGCATTTTGGATGAGGTCCTAGACAACTGTTATCAGATATTACAATGATTGGCCATCTCTCAAAATCAACACTATCCGCTCTCAGCCCACAACTGCAGCTTTCTGCCTCATGCCCTTGTATATTCATGCATTGAATTTTAATCCTGTTCAACAAGGTTTAGGGAAACCACTACACTCTAGTGGTGAGCATTATTTGCTTTTGCCTTAACCTATTACGAGAGTTAGAAACCGTAGTGGGAGATCTGCGTTTTAGAAAACAATGACAATGCATATTAACTTCAGAGAAATCTATCAACCTCTTGAGAGGTTGATAGGCGGTTGTGATCAACCCCAAAACTGTTTTAGGGGTTGGGGCGTGTCTCTATCATAATGCCGAAGAGAAGAACGCGTCGTTTGATTGGAACTTACCGCTTTCAATTCTAAGAAACCTTTGCATCTCATCCAGAAAGTCGGAGCCTTTTCCGCTTATGGTAAATAGTAAGAGAGCTGAGGCAGATGGAATAATATCCACCATTCAAACACGCCTCGCAGATTTAATCTATCGAAGGAGTATTCTTTTTTTTATCACAAACATCCCCCCTCGAATGCTGCCGCGTTTGGTGAACGTTGACAAGTTGTCCACAGCAGTGCAATAAATCCCTAAACTTGTATCAGCCTAGGCCTCTTCTCAGCAAACCAAACGAGCTGGAATCGTCTCATCCCTGAACATCACGGACAGCTCTACGTCTATATAAGACATGCCCGAATCAGTTACTTTGTCCTTCAACATCCCTCCCACCACAAAGCCTTTCTCCAATCCAAACCAAAAAGCATCAAATCATCCGAAAAAGCAGGTCTACCTCTCCAGCATGTTTCAACGCCGCACATGTTTTCTCTTGGCCCTCCTAGTCCTGTTCACAGTCGCCTTTGCTGCGAATGACAAGCACATCGGGGAAGACATCTCCATTCAACAAGATGCCGCCGAGGGCATGAAAGTTGCAGATCGATACAATTATAATTATAATTATAATGATCATCATGGAAATGATCATCATGGAAATGATCATCATGGTAATCATCATGAATATCATGATTATCATGGTCCGTGTTATTGCTACGGCAAGAAGAGCGATGCTGTGTACCAATGCCGCAAGTATTACTATTCCAAATATTACCATGTCTCTAGATGCTCTCTCGGTCATTCTCCGTACCACTACGGATGGTGGTGCTGCAATGGTCGTCATTAAGACTGCTCGCAGAGCTACCCGCACCACCTGGAGGCAGTTGTTAGAATGGACTCAAGAGGTCACAATGGGATTATCAAAATGTTTGTTAGTCTGGAAGTCGACGGCAGCTGTTTCATTCTCAAGGCCAATACATCGCAAAACAATTTCAATTCCCTTTCATGAAGTGTAGTTGCTCGCAAAATTACCCGCGAAGGCTATCTTTAGTTGGCAGTGTGTGTGGGCATCGCGATGTAGTCCCTTGTAGTTACAAATAAAAGTGATGATCACCAGTATCCAATTCAGGCAAAAACGTCTTGTTCCCATAGCAATTTTTTTTCCATGCAATCTAAGTGTCGATGTGGTGATGGTTGAGGTATGAGAAGGGAAGGATACTAAGGATACTGAACTACAGTTGGCACTCCGGTGCATTATTTAGGGTGGCGGCGACGGCCGCTCTGTGACCTCGCGCCCTCCGGGTTGTTGGAATATAGCATAATCAAGAGTCGTTCTCTACTGTGCGTGCCCCTCGGCGGTCGGCCGAGGTTCCGACGCTGGCGGCCCCTGCCGCCACAGCAGCGGCAGGGCCTAATAATGGGTGTGACGAGGGAGGGGCGGTGTCGGACGAAACTAATGACCACTACAGTACGTGGTCTCGGCGTTAGCCGGGATCTACAAGGGTGAGCGCGGTCTGGTAGCCCGAGTAAACTTTACCTTTCTTGTGTGAACAAGAGACCGATGACTCCTCGTTTTACTCGTCGTCGCTCGTTGGTTATAAGTCTGTTCCATGAGGGACAGACTGTCCTGTGCGGTCTGAAACTACAAAATGACTATTGGCGAATGTGATTGTGCGGTCTGACATTTCTCTCACTCTGTTTTGTTTGTTTCGGGACCAGATCGACACTACAGTATATTAACGGAAGAATACAGTACCCAAGGGTACGACGAATCCTTCAAGACCATGTGGTTCAAGGCAGATAAAGTCACGAATGCTCCGGTCTCTGGTACTGTACACACATGTGAAAAGGGATAATTTTTGACGTCTTTTGTCCCAGCTACGTCATGCCAAACCTCTTATGGGGGCCTTTTGAAGAGGAGAAAACCCGCAGGAACGACTGTATGAAGAATGACTGTGCGGAGAATGACTGTGCTGTGGTTCCGATGGCTCTGCGGAATCGACGCCATCAAGCGTATCGATTTTCAACATGTTTATGGAGGTTTATGCAATGGCGTTTGATAGCAATGCTCCGGACGCAAGCCTGCGCCCATAGAAGGTGAAGAATTCACTTTCGGAAGCTTACAGAATGTTCAGTGCGTAGCACCCGCTCGTGCCAGCGTTTGATCTCTGACAAGCTCCAGAAAAACCTAAAAAGAATGTGAATGTGGATGGAGCAAGGCACCCTTCTCGGACTACCGTAGGCACGGGTGCCCACTGCTCCACAGACTCGCTTCTCCTGCAGACACGTTTGAACCCTCTTGCCCACCCAAAATGTCCAACAGGGCGGTGATACTGCATGAATACCATTATTCAGGTCCTTTCGCTGGTGACTGAAACATCGGCAGCAGTGATGCTGTGACGAGGCTGCCCGCAGTGGGCAAGGCTCACGATCTAACCTGCCTATAATCAGAATCGTGTGGCACCGTCCGTCGGAAGTTTCCTCAGCTCCCGTGACAATCGCAAGTCAACATGTCTATGCTGCAACGCTTATCGGTAGTATGCACCCTCCTTGCTTTTGTGCTCGCTGCTCCAGCCCCGATATCGCCATCTCGGTCTGGGAAATGGCTCCTGTCTCACCCCCGGAAAGCTTCCCTGGCAGCAAAGAGCCTTCTTTCGCGCTACATCACTCGCTCACGATGGAACATAATCAAATCCCTCGTCAAAAGGGATTTGCCTGGATCTGTTGCAATCATTCCGGATCATCAGTCGCTCTATGCGTTTCGTCAATTCAGTCCAAGAGAACGCAAGATGACCAGCCCCAGCGCTGCTGTTGTTGCCGGCCGTCTTGCGGATCAATATAACACCCATCTCAAGACCGCTTCGCAAACAAAGTTTCCTGGGCTGGATGCAGCAGCATCTATCACCAACCCCCGTCTTCAGAACACTCTTACGCTGAACAGCAAGATCGGACAATATACCGCGAGAAAAGCAGCTCCGATGGAAACTTCAAACGGCTTTGTACGATTTGTTCGCAAATCTCTGTCCACGGCAGACCAAGTGGGGCTAACTGGTGGCCGTTGCACGAGCTCACCGGAATGTGCGGATGGGAGGGTCTGCACAAACGGAGAAATTACCACGTGCCCCGCCGGCGATGATTGCTTTTGTGCACCTTCGGACGGACCTAAGCCATGCACGTCTAGCGCCGATTGTGCGACAGCTGGGGAAGTGTGTGCACAACTGACCGGCGGCGCAGCCTGCTTGTCGGAGGAAGTTGCGAATGCTCAAAAGATTCCGATCGTGAGCGGCGAAAGCTCTAGTGATGAAGGGGACACAGCTACAAGTGATGACACGGACTCCCATACCGGTAGTGGTGACGGGATCACAGGGGCGCCCTGCACGAGTTCGTCCGAGTGTGCGGAAGGAAGAATCTGCAATGGTCCAGACGCGTCTCTGTGCTCTGCAGGTGAGAGGTGCATTTGTGTTCCTTCGGACGGACCTGAACTATGCACTTCTAGTGCCGATTGTTCAACAGATGGGGAGGTGTGCGTGCAGCTAGACGACGCAATTTGTTTCTCCAAGAACACGGCGAATGTGGCTAGTCTTCCGATCGTGGGCGGCGAAAGCTCTAGTGATGGAAGCGAGGAAAACGCCGGTTCCACCCCAACCCCAGATGAAAGTGACGACCCATCGAGCAGTAGTGAAAGCGACGGAAATGACGAGGAGGCTTGCATAGACGCTCGAGCCCTTGGACATCTTCCCAGCGATGCACTTGTGTTCAAGAAGCACGCCGTATCTCGGGTTCTATGCGATGAGAACAACAGTTGTGCCACACGTGGTCACATGGTCTTGTTCCACGGGCACGCGATGAGAATGAGCACGTATTGCGATTCGGTTGGTTGCAAGCAAGCGGTGGTGGAGGTGAACAGTCCTCGCTTCTCCCGTGGGATGCGCATTGAGTCGAATACGAAGGAGCTGGAATACACTGTGTTTGCTGCGCGGCACGACACGCGCGCTGAGGAAAGCATGATTAGGATAGCTGTGCAACTTGGGTTGTGATAGGGTGTGCTGTCTTGTTACCGGTAGAAGTCGCTCAAAGCACAGTGCTGTTCGATGCGTTGAGTAGCATTTCATGTGGCGGATGTGTTTTGAAACGTCTCAAGACACGACCACCATTTCAGTAACAAGACTGTCTGCGGGTTGCGAAACTCATCGCACACAGATTCAATAGGGTCTGTGTAATGTCGTCAATAGTTAGCTGTTTCTTCACTCCATTTTGAGCTCGACTCAGCATTGTTCATTAAGAATGTTCGGTACGCACCGATGAACAGTTGTGCTGCGAACAGGGCGCACTTGCGACTTTTGTCAGGGACTGGTATGCTCTCGTGATCGGGAGCAATTGCGACTTCTGTCAGGGGCTGGTACGCTCTCGTGATCGTCATCTCCGAGTGATGGGATCCGTGGGAAGAGCTCAACTTTTGCTACAGTAGTTGCGGGGCGTTTCTGGAAGGAAGCGAGGCCCTTGCCATTACAGTAAAATAAAATTACAATATAAAAAATTAAATTTACGCATCATTTCTTTAACGTACAGTATTTTTAGCCGTTGGCGATAACATGTTGCGGGATGTTAACTGCTATCCCGATGTTCCGCAACATCGGGATAGCAGTTTTCGATACACAGAAAGAGTAAGGATCTACAGTACTTGAATTGAAGAAACCAATTGCCCTTTTAAACGGGCGCTTTGAATCGAAGAATTCAATACAAAATGTGTCGAGGTTTACTCAGAAGCGTTTCTTTGCCCCGGCATTTCCGAAAACCACCAGAAAGGGGTTTTAATTCTTACCAACATCGTTCCTTCGAAATACAGAATTCAAGTACGGAAGTACGGTGGGGAGGGGGTGTCTTTCTCCTTATGAAGAAAGCAAAAGTCTGGATACTGTACGTATGAGATGACCTTGCAAAATATTTTTCGCCCGCATATTATGCGGGCAACGGTCCAATACCATACAGCACAAACTAGTAGCAACTAGTAGCAGCCTGTCGTGCCACTAACGGCGTCCAGTGTAGTCGGGTAGCGCCTTGGCGCTAGAGCGGACCACATCGTCTAGACATTGAAGGGGTAGGCAGACATGGGGAGTTTCACGTAAAAGCTAGAATGGTGCCATGCAAGTAAAAAGACCGGTTTGCGGTCCTTGAACAACGGTAGTAAAGGACTGCCGAAACGAACGTCTGAGCAAGTGTTATTGGCTTTAGACTGCTTCATGGCATTCAAACAATGGCACAGGAGACTGTGGCTAGAGTTTTCAGCCATAATGAGTGTGTGCGAGAGGAAGGAAAAAGCCACCAGCATCAGTGCTTAGTTCGTAAAGGGGGGGTGCTGCAATTGTCGGACAGTGACAAAAAGATCGGACATGCAAAATATTTTGAAAATTATCTCCGACACGGGCCAAGGTGCACCGCCGCGCGTAACGGCGCCAGACAGTGCGCCGTATCTCAGAACGACGTGGTTGAAATTAAAGAAAAAATATCTCAATCGATTGCTCACAGCTTGCTACGTATAAGAGTGTAACAACCCAAAAATACAAAACAGGCATACTTTTCTATTTTTTTTTAATTTGCTTCGATGTCCGATCTTGGTGCGCGGTTGGGGTGCAAAAGTGTCCGCGCGCTTCAATCTCACTCCTCGTCTTTGTCCGTGTTTGTTTTCGCCAAGTCCCAGTAGACGAACGGCTGAGAGTGTTCCCGTCGCAAGACATAAAAAATGGTGATTGCTTGACAATTACAAGTACTTTTTCTTTTTAATATTGAGGATTTTGTCCCACATTTAGAGCACCCCCCCTTTATGCACTGCACACTGCTTAGATTTACTCTCCTTGTCACCTATGCACGAAACCTTGCATGATCCATGAGCAATACCGGACGAAGCCCAACGGAGGACTCGCTCACACGGCCAAGGTAGAATGAGAATATCTATCGTCTTTGGCCCGAGCTCTATAACATTGCATGGTGTGCTTTCAAGATGTGAAGACAGTAGACACATTTCCACCAGCGGTATGCGGTCAAGTGATTTACTCGCATCATAAGACACGGCGCGCTCTGCGGGGATCTGTAGGGGCGGTACCGCTGGTCCTGGGCCGTCCAATCGCCCCGACTGGACGACGGCGGCACACAACGCCACGGAATTCCCAGACCCTGCATTACATCGCTCTCCCGCATCGACACCGCCCGCGGCGCTTCACCCGCATCGCCCCCTCCCCGCATTGCCTCAGCGCCTGACTGCTCCCGCCCAAGCTTCTCCCGCACCGCCCCCACCATGCAATACCTCGGTGCCTCCCTGCATTTCCCTTCATTGCTTCAAACGCCTCCCCACTCCCGACCACCTCGCTTTGCCTCACCCCCGCATCGCTCTCCATTGCGTGAGGCTTCTATTGCCTCTCCGCGCTCCGGGTCGCTCTGTTCTCGATTTGCCTCAGCTCCTCGCTCCTAGGTCCTCTTCTCATTCTACCCCGCCTGTTCGCTTGCCTGCTTCACCGGCGTCGCCTTCTTCTTCGCCTTCGCCACCAGCGCCCACCGCCTTGATCCCCACCGCGCGCACCTCGGCGCACAGATTTGACAGCTGATCTGCGGCTGTTGGCGCGCCTCCTCCACGGTAGCCGTTGATAGCTTGTGAAGGCGACGTCTTCTCAATTAAGGGAACAGATCGTTGAGGGTACGTGTGGGAAGCCAGTGACATACAAGAGCCAAGATGTGGACTCGAGGGAACCAGTGAATTAGTGTACCATGGATTTGAAGGTTTGAAGGGTCGCTTTATTTTGGCTAAGGCTGGAACAGAGTGTTCGCTTTGGACCAAGTGGTCTGAGTTTTTCGCATGTTTGCATCCTGCTCGATGTCCTGTCTGTAGTTTTTCATAGTCCCGAGAACTGTTCCGTTAATGTACAACAGCTGGCGGCTTCCACTTGTTAAGCTTGACAATTTCCTTACATGTTCTATCATCCAGGAGAGGTTATTGATTGACTCCTGTGCGGCTTCCCCGGCATTGTTCAAAACAGACTCTCTCGAGTCTTGGAAGAAAACTTGGCTGATAAAGTTAGATCCTGATGCCCCTTCGATCTGCGCAGAAGCGACAGTTGAGAGCCCATCCCTGGCCTTCCGTCTCTTTGAATGAGTGAGTGGTCCTTCGAACAGGGGAACTAATCTGTTTTCGTCTCTCCGTGACTTAATGAAAGGCGGCTGACGACCCCTAATCAATTCACGATACAACGGCAATTCCATGCCTTGAACAAGGTGTTTGCACAATAGAAACGGGTTTTGTAAGTATGCAGGGCATGAACAAGTCCATTTAACCTTATCCACATTGATAATCCCTTTTACGGTAGTTGATGTTGCCTTTTTCCATTCCTGCACAAACGCCCGCCACCAGCTTGGTTTCTTTCGTCCATTCATCATCAATTGGTAGTCGGAGTTAAACTTGGTCATGAGCTTCGTCTCTATGACGTACAGTAGTAAATCTGGTCTTGGCCGGTTGTATGGCAAAAGAAAAAGGCGCTTTAAAACTGAGAAATGCGACTGGCACATCATTGTCGTTTTAGTGAGGGGGATGCACGACGCAAGTCGCCTTCCCCAGCTATAAAACATATTTTCGTCGCACCAATTCTTGATCAAGTACGCTTTAAGCGTCTCGTCACCCTCTAGAGAAAAAAGAGATCTATTTCTTCCCGTGCTTGCTGTTCAGAGAAAACTGTAGAGAATTCAGAGTCGAAGAAAGGATGGCGGTTAAACTGGAGACTGATCAACTCAAGTAACATTGTCTCTTGCTCCGGGGAGATTTTAGTCTTCTTATCTCTGCGTAGACCTCCAATCTTCTGCTTGATGGCTCTTTTAAGATGCCAGAGGCACAAAGATGGGTCTATTTTATACACCCGTTTGATGGCATTCATTTGACCAGAATCCTTATCTGAAAAGAAGAAGGTAGGTCGAAACGCCACCAACGAGTCGAACAATCCTCGGAAACATTCATATATTGTGTCCTTTCTCCGCACGTTTTCTGACGATGAAACACTGCCGGACTCAATAAAAAAGTGACCTAGCGGAAAGCCAGCACCCAACACTGCCCCGATCACAACAAAAAGTTCCCATGATGATGAATTAGTCTTGTACGTAGAATCACTAAATCCTTCAACAACATTGTGTTCTTAACAGAGCGTATCTGTTATGCTGGTTTTGACACCGACAGCAAACGGCGAGCGTTGGTGAAAGAAAACATGGAGCGTCTTGCTCTCTTGAGCATACAGAAACACAGATTCTTTAGGGTCGACAGCCGTTCAAAATTGTGATGTCATTTGGTCCAACCACAGTTGGTACACCTGAAGGTACTGAATAAGCACATATCCAGACGCACGCAAGTTGGAGCAAATAAGAAACGGAGTACTACCCTGCCGTGCGTGCTGTAAAACAAATTGCTTCTCCTGTTCAGATAATACATGCTTGTTCTGGGCCCTTTCGTGCAGCAAAGTATGCTTCACCGTAAGGTTGAGAGTTTAACCTCGGTCATACGAAATAGACCACCTGCAACCATCCTCACGTAATCTTGAACTTACCTTGCACCGTTTGGCCTCCGCATTATGGATTCTCTGACTGCATATATAGGCATGTGTCTTCACACCTTTCTTGTGCGAAACATATCGGAACCCTTCAACGTTTTCAACGACAGATTTAACTTTTGTTACAAACTCTAAGCGGTTATCCAGGTGTACAAGCTGATCGCTTGCATAACAGCATTCGATACGATACTGCAGCTCCGTCGATGACTGTAAATTACGCCCCTGCTCCCTTGCAATAAACGCTTGCTTGTCTGCAACAAATGGAAGCCAACCCATGAAGTAGATTTTTTCGGGAACAAGGTCCATGGGGTCTTCTTTTCGACAGGTATTACAACTCGTTCCCGGCTCTCCCTTGGTGCTTAAAACCCTAAGCATCTCACGGTATGCTTCACATCTGTGACATTTCATTAGACAAAGAGCTCTTAGGTTGTCCAGGGAAGTTTCCTCTTCGCTCCCAT